TTTGGACTGATATGTTAGACAGGGCTCTTCATCATCATTATCAAAACACTAAATGAGGGGATATCTTCTGGAAAAATCTTGTTTTTCCCTCCAGTAGAGTTCCACAGACTTGTCAAGGAGCGCTGAAGCTGTCCTGGTGCTATGTGTATGTGTAACCAGCCCTGGTACTGGCAGGTTCAGTTCGTTTTCTCTTCAGTTACTCTGCGTTGTGTTACATGAAAAAACAGTGGTCTGGTCAAGCAGGGACAGGCCGTTTATTCTGCAAACAACACAAGAGTGCTGGTCAGGCTCGCAGTCGGATCACAAACGCACTTCACAGGAATAGAGAGACGCAGTTTAAGGAACACGTTAAGTCCAGGTGCTTTAAACAGCAACCAAACGATACCAAATAATAAAAAAACACTCTGAATATTCCCTCACAGCGGCTATAACACGTCCTATGACGACCAAATCACTTCCATAATTGCACAAATGGTCCCATATACAGAGCACTCACTGGACCCGACTTACCTCAGACGCATCCACCCCAATTCTGGCGAAAATCAGATGGAGCTGATGACGTAAATGCCAGCATCAGGGAGGAGGCGCCTGCAAGCCAACCGAGCACACGATGACATGACATCTGTAACCATGGCAAGTGGAATGACACTGTTTACTCCGTTACATATGGAAGCAAATCAGGCGCATCCGATTTTGAATTTTAAAAGCTGTTGAATTTCTAACTTTGAATTTTGTTGCCGTATGTGAATTATTTTGTCTGAATTTAGCCCATCTAAATTTCAATAAGGCAAAAAATTTCAGGTGTAAAAAATTCGAAGCCATGAAAAGTGCTCAAATTCGACAGGTTCAACCACGTTGTGACATGAACAATGACTCAGCACGTCTCCTGTCAAAATGTTTGAGAGTACAGTTCAGCTTGTTATTAATCATGTTAATTCAAATGTTACAGGTGTGTTTGATTGAATCTAATAGTGTCGATAAAATGAATGCAGGACTTTAACATTGGCTGGAAATCACAATACGGTGGAAGCGAGCTGCTGGGCGGAGGTTTTTTCTAGTTCCTGTTATTTCTGTCTTCTACATAATGTCACATCAAACAGAATTATCAGGCTTTCCAAAACCACCACTAGTGATGTTTGAGAAAATAAATAAGACTGCAAAACTGATATG